AAACATATATAATATTGTAACGACCGTGGGTTAGCGGAGCTAAACTGGCTAAACTGCTCACTAGCTAAACGGCTAGCGGGGCGCTAGCGGCTATCGCTAAACTTCGCAACAGATGGAAAGCGCTCGTGCCTCATACACCGCACGATTCCGAGCGTCTCAGCAGCAGACTGATAATCCCCAAATGATCCAGCAGGAGGCAGTAGTGGTTCATACCAGTCGTTTATTTACCATCTTTTTCTACAACAACGTAACGCTGCTGACGCCGAACCCCTATCCCGCTCCCACCACATAGAGTCGCGGTGTCAGCCAACCATGCCAATTCAACCCACTCCACAGAACACACATCAACTTCACTGTGGCTTACATTAACATAACACTAACACAACATGCGAATCAAACACATAGGAACTAGCAGAATGATAGAAAACACAGACAACACAATACCCAGAATGCATCTGGCTAACAACCCCAGCCAGGTCATTAAAATATGTTTTTCACTCTTGATTCAACAACAGTCACAGTAGCACCAGCACCTGGCCACACCACAGAGCAGAGTAAGATTCTTCCATCGCCAAGTTTGAACGTAACTATAACATCACCTCCTGTTTCCACAACTTTCCCCCCCAACTTTATTTTCCACAGCTCATACAGAGCTACAAAAACAAGGAAGTGGACTGTATTGCATCAGCTCAACCCAAACGTGGAGCAGCGTGGAGTTCATAATGACGAATCTGAGTTTGAAGAGTCCGTGAAAGCAAAGGTAAGCTTGTGATATTTCACATGTAACTGCTGCTGAAAAGAAGCAACGCCAGATGCATAAAGTCATAAGTGTGCCTGCTGTCTAACTTTGCCCTGTGCAGGCTTCAACAGCTTCATTTGTGCACAGGTCACGGTGACTAATGGTGGATAATCTGATCTCACTGGGTAGTGTAGTGGAGCGACCTTTGGATCGGGTGTCACAAGCTAACAGACATGCTTACCAGCTGTTAGGTTCTCTCGGTTCTCCCCAGATAGCAAAGTGACTCTGGACCAGATTTACCCGAGTGTGCACCACAGCCTCTATAACAGATCTGTTACAGAGCCTGTGGTGCATCCACGAGTCTGTCCTGTTCCAAATTTTCAGAAGGAATTCAGGATATATCTGATCATTTAAAAAGATTTAATTTGCTTCAGCAGTTGAAATGACAAGTTTACAGCGCCGGACCCCAGTGTGACACAACAGCCTACAACAGTTTATATAATGTTACAGTAACATGAGATTATTATGGCGATCTTCTCCCAGAGCCAAACGTGGCAGTCTGCTGCAAATCCTCCCATCCGTTCACGTCCGATCTCTTATCTGCTCTCATTCCTGAAATCAAACAAACAAAGAACACACCCTGCATAGTCTTCATTATCTAATATTATCCTACTGCTGATTGTAAGGTCTAGTTCAGGACGCTGTTCAGACTCCCTGACCCAGAGACCATTATCATGTGTATGTGTAAGCCTCTGCAAAACCCTCTGCACTCTGCGTCAGCTTCAATATTTCAAATCCAGACAGTAGCACTGGACGAAGCTTTTAACCCTCAAACACGGAGCGCCAGCACATTTATCAGCACATTTGCATTGTGCATAAATAAAATAATAAAACAGCTTATTTAATAATTTTATAAACAATTTAATAATTTTCAGCCCTAACAAGTTCACTTGCATGGTTGAGTCCATTTGCATGACAGAACAGATCAGGATTATGGATTCAGAATATCCCAGACTTCATAGCGCGGCGGTGGGTGAGGATAATTTTGCCGAAAAAAACGGCGGAAGCGGAGCGGCCGAAGAGTAAACTTTTAAAAGTAAGTACTGAATATGATGTCACTTATTTATATGCAGATGTTTAACATAGAAGAACATTAAAACATTACTGTTGGCCACATGTTCACTAAATGCAAACATATGGGCTCAAATTGTGGTCATAAATATTTTGTATTTGTAAATCTGGATTTGTATGTGTAAAAAGATTTGTGTTGACCAAAAAATACAAGTGAAACCCTGCAAGTTACAAGTACGAATTTTGACCCTACTTTTCTTCCTTTCATCTGATTGG